AAACTTTGTATTTGTACTATTGTAATCTATAAATTGTATAAACTGTATTGTAATCTATAAATTGTACACATGCATCTTTTACTATCTTTCAGTGGTTTTTTCTAAATCAATTTAAGCAATTTTATTAAAATAAATTGTATATTTTAAGATGAGTATTTTTAGAATTATCTTTATTTTTATATGTTGTATATTTCAAAATATGTTTATAAACATAAATAACAATAAACTATCTTTTTTATATTAATAATTTAAAGAAAGAAAATATATATGTTGTTCAATAGTAAATTTATATTATTTGTTCATTACTAGTTTATTTTGTATTAGTTATTAATCCTTCTGTTTTCTCTATAATTTCGTTAATTTTTTAGTTAATTGATAAGTAATTAATTTAATTAATTGGTTTATATTTTTTTTATTTATAATATAAATTTCAATTTAAATTTTAAAATTTAAAAACTTATTTAATTAATAATAATTATTTTAAGAACATCAAAAATAATTAGCTGAAAAGTAAAGGAAAAAACATAGTGCCTTGCGCTAAGTATAATAAGGAATACGACAAGGAGCGAGACGAGTATAAGGTACATAAACACGGCGAGACTGATAACGTAGCTATAGCCAGAAGTCAAGAAGAAAGAGACAACACGTTATCACATTATCTGCATTCTTCTATTGCCCGATGCTAGCCGAAGAGCCGAGCGCACACGTTTACGGTTCTTTCTTTGTGTACGTCATCCCTTCCACATCCCTGTCGGTGAGCCGCGGGACAGAATTGGCAGCTCTGAGCAAGCCCCACCCGATCAGTTTTCCGTTCAAGTACAATTTATCGGAGACGACGTCATCTCTTAACATTATCTACCTACCAAGAGTCTTTATACTATACTAAGCTGATTCTTAGTCATATCGGCCGGCAAATGTCCTGTTTTTTCAAATTAGATCTGAGTAAACTTTTGCTTCGATTCTGAAAATATTGATTTGTAACATATAATTACGTATAATTACGTGCGACAATGTAAATTATTTTCGACTCTTCTACAACAGTGAACGGTCATGTTTGAATAAAATCAAAAAGAAAAATTTATGTTGTATGTTTTGAATATAATTAATATATATTAATCATGAATTAAATTTATGAAGATAACAGAAGAATAGAAAACATGAAATACATTAATTTATACATAAAATTTTTAATTAATATATATCCTAAATTGTTAAAGTTTATTTGAAATCTTCACATTTTTAAATTTATGTACAAATTTAAATGTTGAAATTTGCTTCCAAACAAAATAAAACTATTTTTATATTATTTTCCTACATTATGTAAATGCTGTATTTATATCGTATTATTTATCGAATGTTAATTATTAATCCTAAAAAATTTCTTATATAGTTTTTTATATTATACAATTAAAATGGATTTCTTTTAAGATTCTAAGAATCAAAATGAATTAAAAAATTTTGTATTAAAAATATTTTATATAATAGCTTTTTAGAAAATATAATAACAATTTTCTTAATTATTTGCGTAGAAATACTCGTGCGGACAAACACACATATATTTATGTAATAATATATATAAATATATAAAAGATATATCAAAGATTGTTTTTAGAGAGATTCAGGAAGTGGAATATAAACAGATGTTGATATTTAAAATCTCTGTGAAATTAATAAGTTTATCAGTTTGTTATTTTCAGCACAAGATATTTCTGCTAAATGACAATTTTTAATGACTATACAAATAGCATTTTTTTAGACTTAAAAGACTCAATTTTACTTGCAAATATTTTTTACGTTCATATTTGCAT